TTTTTTTTTGAGATGGAGTCTCGCTCTGTCGCCCAGGCTGGAGTTGGAGTGTAGTGGCGCGATCTTGGCTCACTGCAAGCTCTGCCTTCCAGGTTCATGCCATTCTCCCGCCTCAGCCTCCTGAGTAGCTGGCACTACAGGTGCCTGCCACCACAACCAGCTAATTTTGTTTTTGTATTTTTAGTAGAGACAGGGTTTCACTGTGTTAGCCAGGATGGTCTCAAACTCCTGACCCTGTGATCTGCCTGCCTCGGCCTCCCAAAGTGCTGGGATTACAGGCGTCAGCCACCGTGCCCGGCCTTTAATCCATCTTGAGTTAATTTTTGTATAAGGTGTAAGGAAGGGGTCCAGTTTTCTGAACATAGCTAGCCAGTTTTCCCAACACCATTTACTAAACAGGGAATCCTCTCCCTATTGCTTGTTTTTGTCAGGTTTGTCAAAGATCAGATGGTTGTAGACATGTGACATTATTTCTGAGGCCTCTGTTCTGTTCCATTGGTCTATACATCTGTTTTGGTACCATTACCAATGCATTTCTTTTTTTTCTTTCTTTCCTTTTTAAAGAGATGGGATCTTGTTCTGTTGCCCAGGCTGCAGTGCGATGGTACAGTCACAGTTCACTGCAGCCTCAAACTCCTGGGCTCAAGCAACCCTCCTGCCTAGGCCTCCCAATTAGGTAGGATTACAGGTGCACCACCATGCGTGGCTTCATCGTGTTTTTCATTATTCCACTAATTAAGAATTTTCAATGGCTCCACATTGCTGATACGTTTTTATAAAAGCTACACTTCTAATAGTGTCATGCAAGACCTTTCGTGTTCTAGTTCCTGCCTACTTCTTCAGCCTTTTCTCTCTTTTCTTCCCCATTCTCAAATATCCTACCCTGTAACAATACTAAAATACTATCAACTTCTTAAACAATCACAAGATCATTCCCTCTGCCTATAATTCCTGCCACCCACTTGCTGGCCAGGCAAACTATGAATCTGTTCAAGGATCACTTATGAAACTTTTCCTGCCTACTCAGGCAAGGTTGAAAAATGGCACTTTCCCTCAGTCAACAATTGGATAAAACAGAGCCCCAGGACCTCTATTACAGATATGAGACAGGGACTGTGCATAACGCCCAGGTTGGCATTGATGTTTTGTTACATGTGTAATTATGAACATCTCTGGGTGGCCAATTAGCCTCTGTTGACAAAAAAGATCAAGGACTATGATGGCTATGATGCTAACAGTTATAGGTTTTCAAAGAGAAAAGTTACATGTTTCAATGACACTGCCTTGGCCAATGGCTGTATTTTATTTGCAGCACCCAGAGTGCTATGTTAAAACAAGCATGGTCTTTAGTAAGCCTAGTCCTATGTTATACATTTACTGTTTATGGGAAGTTGCTGACATTTCTGAGCTTCAGTTTCACATCTGTAGTGTGGGGATATCTATTTTACAAGATTATTTTAAAACTTAAAGATGATAATTGTACATTACAATGCCTATCTTCTCATTTGTTGCCTTTAATTTCTTCATACTTGTGGTTTTATTTTGGCATCCTTTTGCTTCTCAACTGTCCTCTGAGATTCAAGTTAACCATTACCATTTTACAAATTCCAAATTCCAAGGTTTCTGACTCATACATAGACTAGAGTAATAGTAGCAGTAACGCTTAAGCAGGTCCCCCTGGCAATCTTTCTCCACCTTTCTCCTCAACAGTATCAGCTGCCACTATTTCCAGGTATAAAAAGCTCAGAGATATTATTATAATCACTTATTAATTTACTTTTTGAGACAGTGTCTCGCTCTGTCACCCAGGCTGGGGTGCAATGGCACAATCTTGTCTCACTGCAACCTCCACCTCCCGGGTTCAAGTAATTCTCAGGCCTCGCCACCACATCCGGCTAATTCTGCGTATTTTCAGTAGAGACAGGGTTTCACCATGTTGGCTGGGCCTGTCTTGAACTCCTGGCCTCAAGTGATCTGCCCGCCTCAGCCTCCCAAAGTGCTGGGATTACAAGCGTGAGCCACCCGACTGGCCATATATTATTATTATTATCATATTTTAGATAGGGTCTCGCAATGTTGCCCAAGTTGGACTCAAGCAATCTTCCCAAATACCTGGGACTACATGCAGGCACTACAGCACCCCGCCTTAAACAGCTACAAAATACACCTTCCTGTAACAGTTCTGATAAATATCTTTACTTCGTTTATTTTCCTTTTTTCAGATGCAGTCTCCCAGGCTGGAGTGCACTAGCATGATCTTGGCTCACTGCAACCTCCACCTCACTGCAACCTCTGCCTCTGAGGCATGAGGTTCATTCAGGCAATCTTCCCAACTCAGCCTCCCGAGTAGCTGGGATTACAAGCCTGCACCAACATGCCCAGCTAATTTTTTTTTTTTTTTGTATTAGTAGAGACAGGGTTTTACCACCTTGGCCAGGCTGGTCTTGAACTCCTGACCTCAAGTGATCTGCTCGCCTTGGCCTCCCAAAGTGTTGGGATTACAGGCGTGAGCCACCGCACCCGGCCTCTTTGACGTCGCTTAAATGTCCACTTTTAGTAGTAAAATCCCAGAAAATGTTTGTGGGAGTATGTTTAACTAAAAAGCTCATATTTCCTTTTATTTTTGGGCAATTCTTAAGGTAAGCAAACTAATGTTGCATGATAAACCCCCATCAAGTATCTCACACTTAAGCAAAGACCTCAAATCATAGTCTGTGGTTTTATTGCAGCTTTCCTTCAAAATATCATGTGACTGAGGAAATCCCTATCTTCCTATCAGACTAAAGAAACGACAGGACAGCGATTACACTTTTAAGTATTGGAGGGTTTACAGCCCTAGATATTCTATATGCAGACTATTCATGTTTGTTTGTTTTAATAAACACTGGTCCAAAGGCTCATTTTCACAGTAGCTACAGTTTTTCAGTTCCAGAACCAGGTAAAGAAGGGCAGCCCCGTGATCCATAAAATCCAAGGGTGACGACTCAGGGTTAGGACCATTTCTTGGTGACATTGAGATGGTCGAGCTGGTCCGCAATGAATCTATGCGGGGGAAACTTGGAGGTGGCGGCCGCCTTTAAGGCCTCGAAGGCCTCCCTCCTGCGCACCGCGGCGTGGCCGCGCTCCTGCTCCCGGGTCATGTAGGGCATGCTCAGCCAGTAGTGGTTCTCCGCCTCGATCTCCAGGCGGCGGATCATGTTCTGCTTGGCGCGCAACGACACGAACCGCGGCCGCCGGTGCTTCCCGATCCACTGACGGCCGGGAATGCGGTTGCGGCAGAGGAGCGCAGTCAGGAACATGGTGCCTGCGGAAGAGAGGGACGGGCTTTGCGGACGCGAACTGGCGCGGCCTGACCTGGAGAGAGCAGCGGGCGCGCGCTCCAGCTCACGCCTACGGGAGTTCCCGCACCGCCTCCCCTCCAGAGAAGCGGAGAGCCCAGCTAAGGCCAGCAGGCGAACAAGGCGCTTCCTACAGGACTGAATTCGCACAGGTACTCACCGGTCGGTTCCTCAGGACTCCGCGGCTGCCGGCAGACGCTGCGGCGTAAGCGCACCCGTCTCGCGGGGTCTCCTGGCGCCTCGGCGAGAGACTTCAGCTCTCGCGAGAGAGGACTGCGTCTGCGCAGAGCCGAGGACGCGTCCGGCGCCGATTCAAACTAGTGGCGGGAGCCTGTGAGCTGAGGGGTGTTGTCCGCGTACGCCTGGAGTCCTTCCCGGGTGTGCTCAGCATGGACCCTATCCGGAGCTTCTGTGGGAAGCTGCGGTCTCTGGCCAGCACGCTGGACTGCGAGACGGCCCGGCTGCAGCGAGCGCTGGACGGAGAGGAAAGCGGTGCGTGAGGCGGGCTGTCAGGGCCCGGTGCGCGGGGTGCGCCGCGGGAGGAGGGGCGTGGCGAGTGGAGGGTGCGGCCCGCGGAAACCGCCAGGCACTGACGGCGTGGACGGCCGCCTCCAAGGCGCGGAGTGGGTGCTGAGTGTCTCCATGCTCGGCGTTTGGCGTTAGCGTAGCTCCCGGGCCTGTTTATGGTTTATTCCTAGGAACTCTTATCGCGTGTCCCTTTTAGTCCCATGTACAACCCCAAGGCTCTCCTGAGATAATGAAAGTAGCACTATTTATGTTGTGAACAGAGACAGCAGCGCTTAAGAATAAGAACCTAAGTTGACAGTTTGAGCTCATAATACATATACTAATTTATACGTGATATGCTTTCGTCACATACAATATATGTGCTTGTCAATAAAATACCATGTAAACCTAAACAGATTCTCTTAGAATCAAGCTATTTAACGTTGTTCTTTACACGATACTTTACACATATAGTGACTTTTTTCTCACCCAGGTGGTCAACAGTTGCAATAAACCTCTGTGTTTTTCCCACTAAACCGTATTACCAACACAAACACTAGTACTCGACAGTGCTGGGGTTTAAAAAAAATGTGTATAAATAAAGCAAAATTCACGATTCCCCTTTTTATTGGAGATTTTTTAAATTGTTGAAAAAGTAGTTCTGATTTTGGAATTATTTCATAAATGTCATAATTGTAATGTGCTTTAAAATATTACACCCTGCAGACTTTTACTTTAATTATGTAATGAATGATCTCCAGTCACTTGAAAATGCCTATTTCTGCCGGGCACGGTGGCTCACGCCTGTAATCCCAGCACTTTGGGAGGCCGAGGCGGGCGGATCACGAGGTCAGGAGATCGAGACCATCCTGGCTGACACGGTGAAACCCCGTCTCT